CATCTCTCCCGTCCAGTCCTCTCCCCGAAGCCATGTCCAGGGAGACACCAGCCTGGCCTCCCTGGCTCGGGAAGGAGGCACTGATCTCCAGGGAGCGGAGGGAGGAAACGTCTGACCTTTCCCCTCATTCCTGTCTTGCAATGAACTCTTTCGGGGAGACAGGGAGACGGGGAGAGCCTCCCGTGACACCCTCACAGGGCAGCCCAGCAGCCGGCCGGCCTGGCCCAGCGTGCAGTTGTCTCAGGTGGAGTCTCCTTCAGAGACGACACCCCCAGCCTGAGAGCGTCCCCGCCGCCCCGGGAGGGTGCAGCTTTGCCTCAGAAGAGACGGCATCCACTCATCCCTCCGCAGTACCCGCCGTTCAGCACCAGTCTGACCACGCCCCGTGGGGGGCCTGCAGGGGCCGTGGCCCACGATTCTCCCTCTTCATTGATGTTTCTCTCTCCCTTCCTCTCTGAAACCATTAAATATATATTAAAAAGAAATCCCATTTCAGTAGCATTTCCTGTCCCTCCACCCGCATGAAGGAAGGCAGGTTCCACACCCTTTGGGTCCTGTTTAGGCGCCTGCTCCCTCCCGCCCGGGGGTAATGCTCACGCTGGACACAGGTCTCGGGAACCCACAGTGTCGCTGAGTCACTGTTTATATAAAGCTCTCCCCTGAGCAGCATTCCACCATGTGACCCCAAGCCATTCGCACACAGGGGCCAAACTCCCCGGGACGAGGTCTTTTCCAAATAAAGGCCTTTAGCCAAGTTGAGAGTCCCGACAACCAAGGTGGCGGCCTTTCCAGAAAAAAAAATATTTGTCCAAATGATGCATCCACGTCCCAACTTCCCGCAACATAAAGGGTCCCCACAACGTTTCAATGTGCTTCCCGGCTCATGGGCGTGTCCCTCCCCATGCGTTGCAGCCAACGGGTTTTTCCAGGAACGCGGCTGGGGATGGTCGTGCCCGCCCCCATGAGATACGCTGTGTGGAAACTGTTACAGGTTCCCTCCTTTCGTCCGTCCATCCGTCATGGTGCTCTACCCCCGCCGGTCCCTGAAGGGGCGATAGGAATGATGCACAGGGACCACAGGGGCCTCTCCAGCCTCAGGAGCTGGTTTGTTCCTTACACACCTCCTCAGGTGCTGGCCTTGCAGGTTAACCAGGACTTGCTAATGGACGAGCGTAAGTAGTCTGCAGTAATGGGCTGGACAGGAGGTGACTGACATTTTGACAGGATCATTGACTCACTAGATGCATAATTGCTTAGCAAACGCACGACACTAACTTAGAAACCTATCAGTAAAGTCTTCCTGATTCTAGTGACGAAGATTCTCTGCTCACAAAGATTACACTAGAGCAGTGGTTCTCACCCTCGGCTGCACATTAGAGCCACCTGGGGATCTTTTAAAATCCTGATTGCTGGGCCTCATCCTCCAGAAATTCTGTTTCTTTGTTACTAATGTTGAGGCCCCACCCCATCACAAAGACACAGAATTTCCGGAGGATGAGGCCCAGAAATCAGGATTTTAAAAAGATCCCCAGGTGGCTCTAACGTGCAGCCGAGGATGAGAACCGTGGGACTAGACAGTCACGACCATCCCTCTCAGTGGTGAGACCTGTGAGCTATTCTCTCTGCCGCTCAGAAGGACTCGCAGATGTTCCAGGGATTGCAAACGCGCCGGACATGGAGGCGGGGCAGCAGCCACAGTGAAGCCACGACGTCCCAACCCTGTGGTCCGGAAACAAAACTCCACCTTAACCTGAGTCATTTGTGGGGCCGTTGACCGGGAAGGAGAACATGGACCAGGAGCGATGAGCTAATGGAGGGTCTGGGGTGACCTAACTTAACCTGACTATGTGCAGGGCTTAGAAGCACGTCTCTCACTCATGTACGATTTACTAATCAACTTCTGAAAAGTTTCCTTTTAATTACAGTTTACATTCACATTACTCTGCATCAGTGTCTGGTTCCCAGCGGGGGGCACACGCCCCACAGTGGGCAATGTTTAAGGGGCGATTGGAGAACGCGTTGTGAACGGTGAATGTTTTGCATTCCCGATGGTTCTAGGGGCCTCACAGACAGCATATAAATAGAATTGTGACACATTTATGCCTTTCAGTTCTCTATGTTTTGGAACTTCATTTGCTATTTTTTCATATCACTTCATATTATTATTTTTAAACAGTTTCTTAGTGATTTCTTCCTCAGTCCTCCCACTGTCCTTTCGTCCTTTTATTTTTCCCTTTCGTGGCTGCCATGTTCTTGGGAAGCTTGTTTAGACCAAGTCCATGGCCTTTGAGGCTCCCCCCCCCCCCGAACAGGAGTCCCTTTTTGAACAATAAGGATTCTATGTGGGAGGGGGGGGGCATCAGGATGTGAGAGATGCTGAGGGGGGCGTGGCCAGAAGGTTGGGGTCCGCGGGGCTGGACGATCACGTTCGTTACAGAGGGACCCCGATACTTCCAGTCCCACCGGCACCACCCACAGTTGCTACATATTATTGGCCATCTGTCCCAGACTGTACTGACCCATTTCTCTACGATCATCCATAAGAAACTCTGAGATTCAATTGCGGACATTTATGGCTTCTCCTGTGCTTAGAGGTACAGAGCCCTGAACATCTAAGAAGGAGACTTTGACGCTGGCTCTTCCCTAGTAGCCGCGTGACTTGTTCAGTTAAATGCAGTGCTTTGCATTTCTCCTTCCTCATCTTTAAAATATACAGTATTTGCCCCCGAGGTACCTGACTCTCCGGTTATTCATTCAGCGAGCATTTACTGGGAGCCTTCACATTCCAAACACCGTGGAAGACTCAGGTCATAGCACAAGGGAACGTGTGTCTGCATCCCCCCCGCCCCCTCTGCCCCCTGTTCCCACCCACCTTCCCGTGCCCGCCTTCCCTTGCCCGCCTTCCCGTGCCCTGGGTGTATGTCACCCTCTGTTGCCCTCAGCACCTCAGGGGCCATTTCTAAGAACAAGGGCACCCTCTCCCTTAACCAGAGCCCAGCGTTAAACGAGGATCTCACATTGTGCGCCGTGTACCATCTAACTCAGTCCGGCTCACTCGCCGCCTTGCCCAGCGCGCCCCTCCCCGCGGTTCTTTCCAGTGCGTTTAGTTGTCACTTCTCTTTAGTTCCTTCAAACACTGTATGTGCTTAACCTTGAAGAGCACAGGCCGGCACCGGGCACGCTTCCTCTCGCCTGAGGTTGTTGCTGACACCCCGGGGTGCTCTCCACGCCCCTCCTTGCCGGTGCCCTGCCCAGGTCTCTCTGCACGCCCCCCCCCGCCCCCCCCCTCCGCAGGGACGGGAGGAATAGGCATGTCGCACAGTGAGGGACGGAGACTGCCGCCTGGGACCCCCTGACCCACCTGAGGCAGTGGACCTGCTGTGGGTGGTCAGGTTTATTAAATCTAAACGTGGACTGTGAGTCTGGGGCTCCTTTTCACATGTATTTACATCAATACATTTAAAAATTTTAAATATATTCTTACTGATTTCAGAGAGAAAGGGAGAGGGAGAGGGATAGAAACATCAGTGATGAGAGAGAATCATTGATTGCTGCCTCCTGCACGCCCCGCACTGGGGATCAAGCCCACCACCAGGCATGTGCCCTGACCGGAATCAAACCGTGACCTCCAGGTTCATAGGTTGACGCTCAACCACTGAGCCCATGGCCGGCCCCCTGCGTTGTGTGTAGGTGCTCTCTGAGAACCGAGTTGTTTGCCCCTCCAGTATCTGGAGCCACTTCCTGAGTCCTCCGCCTGCAATAAAAGGACATTGTTGTGGCCCTGACCGCTGTGGCTCAGTGGATAGAGTGTCCTCCTGCCGCCTGAAGGGTCCCAGGTTCGATTCCGGTCAAGGGCATGTACCTGGGTTGCAGGCACATCCCCAGTGGGGGGTGTACAGGAGGCAGCTGATCGATGTTTCTCTCTCATCGATGTTTCTAACTCTCTATCCCTCTCCCTTCCTCTCTAAAAAAATTAATAAAATATATTAAAAAATAAAAATAAAAATCATCATTCTCCCCTTAAAAAAAAGGACGTTGTTTTGTAAGTCAGGCTGCAGGATGGACGTCAGGATCAGGGGAAGCTGCCGGGGGAGGTGGGATTCTTAGTCTGAAGAGCTAGTGCTGTTTGTTCAGCTCAGAAATAAGAGACAAGGACGGTAACTGCATTTGGAGGGAAGAGGAGCTAAGGCTAAAGCACAGCTCTCCACCCACGGACACTGGCAGCATCTTCCATCGTAAGCAGGATCCTGGGTTCCCCCAAACTAGCTGTCATTCCTGTTGCCCTTAAAGCTTCTCTGACGGCCGAAGGACTCGTGGAGCGTTTTCCGGCAGATGTTCACTGGTTTGGGTGTCTCAGCAGAGGTGCCAGGACCCAAAGGATCTGAGGCCTGGGCCTGGCCGGTGTGGCTCAGTGGTTGAGCATTGAGCCAGGAATCAAGAGGCCACCAGTTCGATTCCGGGTTCGATTCTGGGTTCGATTCCGGGTTCAATTCCGGGTCAGGGCACCTGCCTGGGTTGCAGGCTTGATCCCCTGCAGGAGGCAGCTGACTGATGTCTCTCTCATGGATGTTTCCATCTTTGTATCCTTCTCCCTTCCTCTCTCCAGTAATTCCATTAAAAATATATAAAAGTAAAGGATCTGAGGCTGGGAGGCTGGAGGGCCGGGCAGAGGGTGGGATGTGAGGAGGGGGCTCCTCTGTGCATTTACGTGCCTGCGTTAGTGCGTGTGCATGTACATGCGTGCATTTGTGTGCGTGCCTTTACCTGCGTGCATTTGTGTGCGTGCCTTTACCTGTGTGCATTTGTGTGCGTGCCTTTACCTGTGTGCATTTGTGTGCGTGCCTTTACCTGCGTGCATTTGTGTGCGTGCCTTTACCTGCGTGCATTTGTGCGCGTGCCTTTACCTGTGTGCATTTGTGCGCGTGCATTTACCTGTGTGCATTTGTGTGCGTGCCTTTACCTGCGTGCATTTCAGCGTGCGCTCTCCCGCTCGCCTGCAGGCAGGAGCTCCTTGCCAAGCTGGCGCAGGCGGAGGAGGAGAAGGGGGATGCCGCCCAGCTGGCCCGCGAGTTCGAGGCGCTGACGGAGGAGAACCGCACCTTGAAGCTGGCGCAGTCCCAGTGCGTGGAGCAGCTGGAGAAACTCCGCATCCAGTACCAGAAGCGGCAGGGCTCGTCCTGGGGCAGGTCCCCCCCCCCCCCCCCCCC